CGTTCAGTCACTGGTAATCTTGGCTCTTATTGGGGTCCCAGTGGGGGTCTTCCTTGGGGAAATAGGCCTGAGTGTATGCTTGGGCATTTAGAGTGCCCTCAGGGGCATGATCTTCTAGCCACTTTAGAGCTGCCAATGTTATATGGCATTGCTCTTCAGTATTATAGAGTCAGAAAGAGCTGTCGATAGTCTATCCAGGTGGGTTTGTGTCTGGATGATAGACTGCAATCAATACAATCAGAGCCTGAGGCTTTTCCATGAAGGAGGGGGTATGTTGTTTCCAGTTGAGGAGGTCTGTGGTGATAAAGGGCTGCTAGGCAAATACTCATCTTGCTCTTTGTATTTGGCCTTCCTGATCATAACACATGGGGCTCTGGACTTCCCTCAGGGCATCTGCAAGGCAACAGGAGTCTGAGGAGAGGAGGGGTCCTGACAGAAACTGGTGTGATGCTCTCGATCAAGTGGGGGATGTGGGGTGAGCACTTGTGGACTCAGAGTGGGTATGGAATCTGTAGGACTCAGGGGAATTAGAGGAGTCGAGGCCCCTGAGGCTTCTGAACCAGATTTTACAGGCGTGACTGTCCTTTGAGCTTCTCCATCTAGCATTGGAGGCAGAGGAGGATAAAGTGGTACTTCCTTGGGTTCCCCAGCCAGTATAGGCTCCTTTGTTTTCTCTCTACACTTGGAAGTTGTGGCCACCCTAGCTACCATAATCCTACAGGCCTCTTCTAGGTAAGGCCTTAGCCATGTGGGCCAGCTGAGGACAGCATCCTGCCAGCAACTGATATAGGGAAATTGTTCAGGGTGCCCAGGCTTTCCTACAATTACCCTATAAACTTCATTAACCACAGTTTTATCCAGTGACCCTTCTGGGGGCCGTCCTACAACAAGAGCAGGCCAATCTACTTCATAAAGGGCCTTAAGCTTGTTAGGAGTTAACTTTATTCCATAGTCTCTATTAAATCCCTTTTTAAAGTTTTTAACCATATGCTCCAAGGCAGTGTTTTACTTTAATTTCTATCCATCCCTCCAATTACCAGATGGCAAGACAGACACAGAGGGGTAGGGGTTTTGGAGGAGAGGTAAAGGGGGCCCTTTTCTCTGACACACAAGGAAGGATAGTATGTGCCCCTTATCGGTGACCTGGATGTGGTGCCCAGCCAGGAAATGCACCTACACGGGGTCCTCAGTTGCTTTGTCCATCTCTAGCCACTCCCCTCTCAGGGATTTAGGCATCTCTTGACTGTAGTGAGTCTGTATAAACCCCAGTCCAGAGGCCCTGTTAAGGCTTACCCTTGACCATATGAGTTTGCTGGACCCACAGATAGGGACTCCACACTCGCTTTGCAGCTGGGTTGTGACTCAGGCTTGCACTTTCACATACTCTTACACAGCACAGTACTTTCACTTTGCTCCCTGAACCTGAGAGATACGGTTTCACCCCAAAAGGCATATACTAGAGTGTCTCGCTGGAAATTGATCAGGCTCCCCTTCAGCCTCCTGAGGCAGGGTTCTTACCAGTCTGACAAGCATTGGTCCCCTCCCCTCGCTGGTTCCTGCACCTCACTGGGTTCTGTTGTGCATCTGAGGCCCTCACCCCAACTTGCCGGGAGGACAAGTCCCTCATCTGGATCAAGCTGTCTGTTGGTGCCTGCTGGGAGCACTTCTCCCAGTGGTCCAAGGGATGCACCCCGACAACAAGGGAGGTGAAAACCCCACCATCTCCACAATCCTGGTAGCAAGCCCCGAAGAAATGTTGTGGGAATCTCAAGCTGAGGTAGTTTAGCAGGAAGCAACGTTTTATTGTGCCAGCACAGACTCATTGGACTTGTATCCAAAGGGTGAGCCCCCAGAACAAAGAGATCACCCTATATACCCTTGCAAGCAGGTTACAGAAGCATAAATCAAGGTCTAACCCCTATATGGTTAATGCAGTCCTATAGGCTAATTTACCTTAGTGCTACGTGACTCTCCCCCCTCCCCCCCAGTGCTATGTGACTGTCTCCATGTTTGGATTTCTTTGTATCTTTGTGCTATGCCATCCCTACCTCTCTACTACTTTATCTTTTTCTCTTCTGATCCTCCTCCCTGCCAAAGTCCAAGCTGGCCTTGAACTCTTGATTTCCTGCCTCAGTCTGCTGAGTGTTGATTTGGGTGCTTTTGGTCACTTACTCCCAAACTATGCCTGCCACTGTCCTTATGTTTAAAGATTCTATAATGACTTTTGACCTATTTAAAACTTAATAGCTCCCTTGCACCTGTCAGGTCTGGGTTAGTGAGTGTTGGGACGCTTGGGTGGGGTAGATGTGGTCTCTTTGATGTTACCTGCCTTTTGCATTTTCTCCTTTGAAACTGTGTATCTTGCGTTAGCTTTATTTAGAATATTGTTAGGATAATATTGGGGATAAGTATGGGACTGAGCTTTGGGAAGCATGATTTTATTCCTGGCCTAAGTTACTGGCTCGGTTGGAAAAAAGAGGCCATGACAGAAAATGATGAAAAATTTCTACATGAACTTAAATTCTCTGAGCTTGTGTTTAAAACATATGTGTAAGGTGTCTACTTTGAATAACTACATAGGATTCTTCTTGGTAAATTATATGTATCAATTTCTGGTATCAACCTGTTGTGCAGGATTTTCCTACTCTCAACCCATGAGGAAACTAAGATGGTCTGAGAAGGTCATCTGCCCTCAGAGTGTCTGCTCTGAATGAAACACATTGTCTTTTGTTTCACAGACACTGTGTCTGTGTCTGTGTCTGTGTCTGTGTCTGTGTCTGATAGGTTTTTTCAACATAGGGTCTTGCAAACTGTTTGCCCAGGGCTGGCTTCAAACCTTGATCCCCCTGATCCCTGCTTCCTGAGTAGCTAGGATTATAGTTGTGAGCCACCAGACCCCAGCCCAAACAAATTATTCTTTTACATTGTTTCATTGTAGCTTTTTTAGGTGCTACTTTTCTTTCCTTAGCCAGGAGTGGTAATTTATAATGTGTTTGATTTAGTATTGATTTACATAGCTTTATAGATTTATATTTTCCTAGGTTAGAACTTCTCCAAGGTGTAGACATATAAATCATTTGCAGCTGGGCACAGATTAAAGGGCTTACAGATGACAGTAATGACACTTAAAACATGTTGGGACGGAGCAGGAAGCACACTAAATCATTCCATAGCAGATGAGTTTCTGTTCTGTTTTCTTTTAAAGCTATTTTCTTTTTCCTTAATACTATCTCTGCTTTTGAACACCCACACATGTCCAGTTGCCCTGCTCCCATTACTCTAGATTGGGAAGTACACGAGAGACTTCCCAATTAATGTATCCTATTAATGTATCCTATTAACATCCTACAGAAGACCCTGGAGTTAATTTCCATCACTTGGTCCATGAGCTATTTCAGGTAAACAGTGACATGGAGAACTGGTTTGAGATGATAGGCAGATTTTCTTTTTTTAATGGAACTCTTCATTTTATTCCCTTCGTGAAATAGCTAAAGCCATGTAGAGACATGCTACAGATATCATTCAAGAAGCCTATTGTTATTTTAATGAGTTTGCATTAAACCGTGCAGGAAATTAGAAGGCCAGAGTAATTGAACTGTGGAAAATTACAGCTGGAGAAATTCATAGCTTTGCTATCATAATGGAACTAGGTATTGGCAGTGGCTGAGAGGGCAAAAGTATGTTTTGAGAATTGTATATATTGTATATTTATGAGGGATCAGCTTTCTTCCTGCTGTTACACCTTTATTTATTTATTTTTATTAGGCAGTGTATTCATTTGAAAACCCAGTTTCCTCCTTTAGGAGATTTACTTCATGCCATTGCCTTATATTACTACCATTAGCTCACAGTTTCAGTGGTTAGCAAGCTGTTTCTAGACAACTGAGCTCCAGGGTAGGGTCCCTTGCCAGAGCCAAAGTGAATTTTACCTCCAGTAATTGTGGTGACTTTATGCTCTAATACAGTAAGACTTGTTTACTCTTAGTCTCACCTTCCTTCCCATCTTACTTTAGAGGTACGATCTGGGTCTGATCTTTGGTCAGTAGGTGCTGGGGTAGTGAAGAACTTGGAGTTCCTCATTGGAATTGACTGACTGTTTATTTCTATCCTGCCTACTGCTAAGAAGACTGCTGCGGGCCAAGGCTGAATTGACCAAGAATCAGTGGATCCGGGTCCCACCAAAATGAGCTTGAGTCAGGGGTCGTAGGTTTGGACCATAGTGAAATTAGTAAAGACTTTTTTTCTTTAAAAAAAAAATTCAATGGAGGCTTGTACATTGAAATCCCTGTCACTTCCTCCTGGTTCTACCAGTGTCCTATCTGACGGTATCTGACAGTAAATTTGATGTCAGAAATCCGTTCTGCAAGAAGTTCAGAGCTGTTACTTTCTTTCCCCACTTCCTGTTTCAATTCTGTATTATTTGAGTTTACTCTGTGTTCCCTGTAACACTAACCAGCTTGCTTCTGAATTTTTCTCAGCATACAGTGAACATTTATTGATTATTTACATTGTGCCAGACACAAAGTGCTACAGAATATACAGGGAACACAGCCTAGTCCCTGATCTCAAGAAGCTTGTGGTCTAGTAAGAGAGACAGAAAGGATAATTCAGGGTAAGGTGTTAAGTGCTGTGATGGCAGCTAGGAAGAACTTAAGAAAAAGAGGTAACATCTAACTGCTTGCATTAGCAGTGCCATTAAGTTCTCACAACTAATGTGGTCTTTTTTTCTGGTCATGGTACTGTTGCCTAGAAATCTCAGGTTTTCAGTCACACAGAGTTCTGGAGTAAGGCTGGATTCTTGCAACTTTGGAGTCTAGCTATACCCTGACATCTGAGCTGTTTAAACTTGAGAAGCCAGCAGTGAGAGCACCCAGGAAGTGGAAGGTGATCATGCTGAATTCTAGGGAATATCGCTTTTCCTGGGGAAACCTAGCTCCTGCCTCACTTGGGCATTTTGGATATTCTTTGTGTTCAGAGAACCTTTGCCATTTGTCTTCTAGGTTGCCAAGAGGGTGATCTTACTGTCAGGCACACCAGCCTTGTCCCGGCCTGCAGAGCTCTACACACAGATCATCGCTGTCAAGCCAACATTCTTCCCTCAGTTTCATGCCTTTGGACTTCGCTACTGTGATGCCAAACGGGTATTTATTCTCTCTTCTCCAGTTCCCATCTCTCACCCCAATTTTGGCACATCTTTTTGCTCCTCATGGTATGAGTTGAGGAATAGGGTTGAGGAAACTGGACTGAGATTTTAGTTCCAGCTCATCCTTAATTCTGACCTTGGTGTATTTTCAAAAGCAAGATGAAGTTGGTCCCTTCGAGTTTTAGCATTGGTGGTGATTCCAGATCAGCATTTTCCAGGAAAGGGATCAGAGTCTCACTGTGCAGGTATGTGCAGCTCTGAGAGCCACAGCCCTGGCCTGAGCTAACGGCTCCTACACAGCAGGCAGGGTGCTGGGACTGTAGAAGGAAAGTCCATGCCAGACTCTGGCTTCAGAGAATGCACCGAGGTGAGGTAGAGGGGAAGATGTAGGTAGAGACAAGAAAGCAGATGAGGTAGCAAGGGTTGCTTGGTATGGGAGGAATCTGAAGTAAAACTGGAAAACTCCTCTCTATGCAAAAAAGGCAGAAGAGAGCCTTTGAGCAGGAAGAGCAGAGAGTTTGATCCTGAGCTGCCTTGCGGAGGCTTTTCTTCAAGAGTCTTTGTTCCTAAGTGATGACTCGCAGTGAATCATTGTTTGGTCAATAAGCCAGAAGCTTCTGACCCTCACATTACTTATATGAATACAGTGCCGGTAGAGCAGGCCCCTCTAGACCTGCAGTATGCACAGCTTCAGTTCTCCAGAGAGTAGAAGAAGCTATACCATCTGAAATGCATTGCATTCAGTATCACCATTGTAAAACCTCAGACCTTAGTGATTCTTATTTTGTGATCAAATCATCTATGTACTGAGCCCCTATTTGCACCAAAGCCACAGATACTTTCGAGACATGGCTGTGATTGCTCTCAAGCGTCTATGCAAATTCATGATTGTTTGCCATGTTTTTAAAAAAACTTTTTAAAAGGAAAGAAACCTCAGATTTTAAAAATTCCATTTATATGCAAAGTACTTACAATGCAAATTGTAGTGCTTTGCAGTTAATGGTGAACCGTTTTTAGCTTGGTTGTTGCAGAAAAATATTCAATTATTAAATGTATTTAAAAACCATACACTTCTTTGGGTATCTTGCTATGTTTCCATATACTACTTTTGTTTTTTTTGAGGGGGGTGGGGCACGGGGTATTGAGACAAAGTCTCTCTTGTAGCTCATGCTGACCTGGGACTTGCTGTGGAGCCCAGACTGGGCTTGAACTCTCCATATTCCTATGTCTGCCTCCCAAGTGCTAGAATTACAGATGTGTACTACTATACCCAGTTCTTGCCATATACTTGTTTAACACAGAGTGTGACTCACTTTCCCCATGGTTATATCCAGATTAATTTGATTATGTATAGGTTTCGTATGTGATTTGTACCTCTGTTCTCTTTGCAAATGATCTTCTAAACAGGATCTCTCCCTCAACTAACTGGATCTATAGCTAATGAGAAAAGAGGTTAAAGGTAGAGTTCATCGTCATTACTCCCCAGATTGTCTCTCCTTTGTTCCCATTATCAGGCCGCTCCCTCCCCAGTCTCTCATACCAGAAACCAAGCCATCATCCTTGAATTCTCCTTTTCTTCCTTCTCTATACTCTCTCACTCCTGTCTCCAAAACCCATAGTGCCTTTCTCTTTTTCATATCCTTCCTTCCACCTTGCCCAGTGTCTAGACCTTCTCAGTTTTCAATGAAAGCTTGTTGAATTCTGATTATTCCAAAATTAAAATTAAAATCTTTGGGATTATTGGTTTTTTAACCCTTATAAGGTTAAGACATTACCATATTAAACTTAGGAACATGACATCCCAATTAATTAATTATGATATTCACTTGTTCCTAACATGTTGCTTTTTTCTTTTAATACAGCCTAAAGGGTTTTTTTGTTTGTTTGTTTTGGAGTTTGTTTTTTGTTGTTGTTTTATTTTGTTTTGTCTTTTCCAGCTTCATGAATTAAGAGAAGCAACTCCATGCTGAGCTCATTTGCTATCCAGTGACTATCCAAAGGCATTTTCTAAGAACTTCCGGTTGATTTCAGTCTTTTTTTTTTTTTTTATAAAGAAGAAGCAGTTTTGCATAATTTTATTTCTTCACCTTTGACTATTTCTATTCTCAATTTCACAAAGTTCTACAGGATGCCTGCTCTGTCCCTACCATTAAGCTGGGCCTTTGAAGTGAGCAAGCCTAGCCAATATCTTCAGGCAGCTCATAGTCCAGGGGACAGCATGAAATTGGAGGGATTTGAGCAGCTGAAAGTACAAAGCAGCAGACACATGGGCTCCCTGGTGTTCTACAAGACTGTGCAAATCAGTCGTATTTCCACTAAGATTGTTGATAAAGGGTAGAATTTTTATTTTATTTATTTGTTTGCTTATTTTTCATTTACTGAGGTGCCGGGATCAAACCCAGGGTTTTACACATGCTAGACAAGTGTTCTACCTCTGAGCTATACCCATCTTCCCTAGCCATGTGGCAGGGAATAGGCATTTGAGCTCACTGCCTCCTGGGTGCTACTAATTGAGGGAAGCATGGTTATGAGGGGCTGGCTTGGCCCTCCAAAGACCTCCTCTGCTTTCAGCCAAACTGGTGAAAGCCTGTGTTCTGTCTCCTCCTGCCAACCCCAGCCAGCATCAATTATAATAACATTGCAGTTTCCTTTGTTATACTGTACTTGGTTGAGTTGCTTGTGATCCATATTAAAAAGCAACTCTTCTTTAATCTCTGTAAATTTTATCAAAGGAAGATGTTACTGACATTGTTTGCTGCATTGTGCAATGGACCTTATAGGATTAGCCTTGGGGAAGATTTATTTCTGTATTTAGTATGGCTGGAATAGTTTGACAAGCAGAATTTTTTGTTGTTTAATAAAATAAATACCAAATCTCTTAACTTTCTGAATTTTCAGCTAAAGAGGTTAGTGCAGACTATAGAACTTCTTGACATGTGGCTATCTTTTTCCTCTTCCTTTCTTGCCTCATTTGTCTTCTCTGGGGTTCATTTATCGTTGTAAAGTCACTCAAGTGACTTTATGCTGACGAAGCCAGCGTGGTAATGAGAAGAACTCCTGCCTGGAGCTTACAGCCCATGAACGATCTAACCTGTTCTCACTTCCCTTCAGCTGTCTTGGGGCTGGGACTACTCAGGCTCATCAAACCTGGGAGAGCTGAAGCTCCTGCTGGAGGAAGCCGTCATGCTGCGACGCCTCAAATCAGATGTCCTTTCTCAGCTGCCAGCTAAGCAACGCAAGATGGTGGTGGTCGCCCCAGGACGCATCAGTGCCAGGGCCAGGGCTGCCCTGGATGCTGCAGCCAAGGAAATGACCAAGGACAAAACTGTGAGTGCTGACCTGGAGATGGGCTGGGAGACAGACGCGTCCGTAGGTGTTACTTCCTACATGGTGCTCTGTGCACATGACCCTAAGTTCTCTCAAGTTGCCTTTCCATCACCTTTTTTACCTTCCTGGGCAAGAACAGCCAGATCATTTTATTTCTCAGTGTCCCTAATCTGTTTTAAAAATCTCTTGTTAATTCTCGTTTTTATACTTGGGTGGATTGCTGTTGACAGATAGTCATAAAAAATAACCTCAGGGCAAAGGCAGGATGGTACTGTATATTCTGAATCCCTCAAAGAAAGATGAGATTTATGCTTAGTGTACTTTGAGTATGCCTCAGTACGGTAACAGTTGTTAGACAATTAGTCCTACATGTAGTTCGTACATGTGTTATCCCTCTAAACCACATCTAGTCATTTGCTTTAGTCAAAATAACAAATGGACATCTATGCCACAAAGCAGAATTCTTGAACCCTGTTAGCCTTAGGAGTCCTTAATTGCAACTGTTTATGGTTGGCAAGACATTGGCATCCCGATTTTATAGAGAGGGAAACTGAGGCTGACAGAGATTTCAGTTTGCCCAGATTATCATGGCTGTTCCATGACAGGTGAGGTTAGAACCAAGTCTCTTGCCCCTATAATTTAGGGCACTTCTACTATGGTGGTTTTATCTTTTCAAAACACTTTTATTTCATACTTATCTTTAGTGCAATTAAGTAATCTGTACCAGCTCCATTTCTGTCTCTTTGGATAAAACCTTGTTTTTTTTTTTTTTTTTTTTTTCATTTTTCTTTTATTATTCATATGTGCATACAAGGCTTGGTTCATTTCTCCCCCTGCCCCCACCCCCTCCCTTACCACCCACTCCACCCCCTCCCGCTCCCCCCCTTAATACCCATCAGAAACTATTTTGCCCTTATCTCTAATTTTGTTGTAGAGAGAGTATAAGCCATAATAGGAAGGAACAAGGGGTTTTGCTGGTTGAGATAAGGATAGCTATACAGGGCATTGACTCACATTGATTTCCTGTGCGTGGGTGTTACCTTCTAGGTTAATTCTTTTTGATCTAACCTTTTCTCTAGTACCTGTTCCCCTTTTCCTATTGGCCTCAGTTGCTTTTAAGGTATCTGCTTTAGTTTCTCTGCGTTAAGGGCAACAAATGCTAGCTAGTTTTTTAGGTGTCTTACCTATCCTCACCCCTCCCTTGTGTGCTCTCGCTTTTATCATGTGCTCAAAGTCCAATCCCCTTGTTGTGTTTGCCCTTGATCTAATGTCCACATATGAGGGAGAACATACGATTTTTGGTCTTTTGGCCAGGCTAACCTCACTCAGAATGATGTTCTCCAATTCCATCCATTTACCAGCGAATGATAACATTTCGTTCTTCTTCATGGCTGCATAAAATTCCATTGTGTATAGATACCACATTTTCTTAATCCATTCGTCAGTGCTGGGGCATCTTGGCTGTTTCCATAACTTGGCTATTGTGAATAGTGCTGCAATAAACATGGATGTGCAGGTGCCTCTGGAGTAACAGTCTTTTGGGTATATCCCCAAGAGTGGTATTGCTGGATCAAATGGTAGATCGATGTCCAGCTTTTTAAGTAGCCTCCAAATTTTTTTCCAGAGTGGTTGTACTAGTCTACATTCCCACCAACAGTGTAAGAGGGTTCCTTTTTCCCCGCATCCTCGCCAACACCTGTTGTTGGTGGTGTTGCTGATGATGGCTATTCTAACAGGGTGAGGTGGAATCTTAGTGTGGTTTTAATTTGCATTTCCTTTATTGCTAGAGATGGTGAGCATTTTTTCATGTGTTTTCTGGCCATTTGAATTTCTTCTTTTGAGAAAGTTCTGTTTAGTTCACATGCCCATTTCTTTATTGGTTCATTAGTTTTGGGAGAATTTAGTTTTTTAAGTTCCCTGTATATTCTGGTTATCAGTCCTTTGTCTGATGTATAATTGGCAAATATTTTCTCCCACTCTGTGGGTGTTCTCTTCAGTTTAGAGACCATTTCTTTTGATGAACAGAAGCTTTTTAGTTTTATGAGGTCCCATTTATCTATGCTATCTCTTAGTTGCTTGCTGCTGGGGTTTCATTGAGAAAGTTCTTACCTATACCTACTAACTCCAGAGTATTTCCTACTCTTTCTTGTATCAACTTAAGAGTTTGGGGTCTGATATTAAGATCCTTGATCCATTTTGAGTTAATCTTGGTATAGGGTGATATACATGGATCTAGTTTCAGTTTTTTGCAGACTGCTAACCAGTTTTCCCAGCAGTTTTTGTTGAAGAGGCTGCTATTTCTCCATCGTATATTTTTAGCTCCTTTGTCAAAGATAAGTTGCTTCATAGTTGTGTGGCTTCATATCTGGATCCTCTATTCTGTTCCACTGGTCTTCATGTCTGTTTTTGTGCCAGTACCATGCTGTTTTTATTGTTATTGCTTTGTAATATAGTTTGAAGTCAGGTATTGTGATACCTCCTGCATTGTTCTTTTGACTGAGTATTGCCTTGGCTATTCGTGGCCTCTTGTGTTTCCATATAAATTTACAGTAGATTTTTCAATCTCTTTAATGAATGTCATTGGAATTTTGATGGGAATTGCATTAAACATGTAGATTACTTTTGGAGTATCGACATTTTTACTATGTTGATTCTACCAATCCATGAGCATGGGAGATCTCTCCACTTTCTATAGTCTTCCTCAATCTCTTTCTTCAGAAGTGTATAGTTTTCCTTGTAGAGGTCTTCACATCTTTTGTTAGGTTTACACCTAGGTATTTGATTTTTTTGAGGCTATTGTAAATGGAATTGTTTTCATACATTCTTTTTCCGTTTGCTCATTGTTAGTGTATAGAAATGCTAATGATTTTTCTATGTTGATTTTATATCCTGCTACCTTGCTATAGCTATTGATGATGTCTAGAAGCTTCTGAGTAGAGTTTTTTGGGTCTTTAAGGTATAGGATCATGTCGTCTGCAAATAGGATATTTTGACAGTTTCTTTACCTATTTGTATTCCTTTTATTCCTTCTTCTTGCCTAATTGCTCTGGCTAGGAATTCCAGTACTATGTTGAATAGGAGTGGAGATAGTGGGCATCCTTGTCTGTTCCTGATTTTAGAGGGAATGGTTTAATTTTTCTCCGTTAAGTATAATGCTGGCTGTAGGTTTGTCATATATAGCTTTTATAATGTTGAGGACTTTCCTTCTATTCCTAGTTTTCTTAGAGCTTTTATCATGAAATGATGTTGGATCTTATCAAAGGCTTTTTCTGCATCTATTGAGATGATCAAGTGGTTTTTGTCTTTGCTTCTGTTAATGTGGTTTATTACGTTTATTGATTTTCGTATGTTGAACCACCCCTGCATCCCTGGGATGAAGCCTACTGGTCGTGGTGAATAATCTTTTTGATGTGTTGCTGAATTCGTTTGCCATTATTTTGTTGAGGATTTTTGCATCAATGTTCATTAAGGAGATTGGCCTATAGTTCTCCTTTTTGGAGGTGTCTTTGCCTGGTTTTGGGATAAGTGTAATACTGGCTTCATAAAATGTGTTTGGCAGTTTTCCTTCCCTTTCTATTTCATGGAACAGTTTAAGGAGGGTTGGTATCAGTTCTTCTTTAAAGGTCTGATAGAATTCAGCAGAGAATCCATCAGGTCCTGGACTTTTCTTTTTGGGGAGACTCTTGATTGCTGCTTCAATTTCATTTTGTGTTATAGGTCTATTCAGGTGATTAATTTCCTCTTGGTTCAGTTTTGGATGATCATATGTATCTAGAAATCTGTCCATTTCTTTAGATTTTCAAATTTATTTGAATATAGGTTCTCAAAGTAGTCTCTGATGATTTCCTGGACTTCCATGGTGTTTGTTGTTATCTCCCCTTTTGCATTCCTGATTCTACTAATTTGGGTTTTTTCTCTCCTCATTTTAGTCAGGTTTGCCAGGGGTCTATCGATCTTGTTTATTTTTTCAAAGAACCAACTTTTTGTTTCATTAATTCTTTGTATGGTTTTTTTGGTTTCTATTTCGTTGATTTCAGCTCTTATTTTTATTATTTCTCTCCTTCTATTTGTTTTGGGATTTGCTTGTTCTTGTTTTTCTAGGAGTTTGAGATGTATCATTAGGTCATTGATTTGGGATCTTTCAATCTTTTTAATATATGCACTCATGGCTATAAACTTTCCTCTCAGGACTGCCTTAGCTGTTCCCATAGGTTCGGTAGTTGTGTTTTCATTTTCATTGACTTCCAGGAACTTTTTAATTTCCTCTTTTATTGCATCGATGATCCATTCTTCATTAAGTAATGAGTTATTTAGTTTCCAGCTGTTTGCATGTTTTTGTCTTTACTTTTGTTGTTGAGTTCTACTTTTACTGCATTGGAGATAGTATGCATGGTATTATTTCTATTTTCTTATATTTGCTGAGGCTTGCTTTGTGCCCTAGGATATGATCTATTTTGGAGAAGGTTCCATGGGCTGCTGAGAAGAATGTATATTGTGTAGAGGTTGGATGAAATGTTCTGTAGACATCTACTAGGTCCATTGATCTATTGCATATTTTAGATCTTGGATTTCTTTATTGAGTTTTTGTTTGGATGACCTATCTATTGATGATAATGGAGTGTTAAAGTCTCCCATAACCACTGTGTTGGAGTTGATATATGCTTTTAGGTCTTTCAGGTATGTTTGATGAAATTGGGTGCGTTGACATTGGGTGCATACAGATTGATGATTATTATTTCCTTTTGGTCTATTTCCCCTTTTATTAGTATGGAATGTCCTTCTTTATCTCGTTTGATCAATGTAGGTTTGAAGTCTACTTTGTCAGAGATAAGTATTGCTACTCCTGCCTGTTTTCGGGGGCCATTGGCTTGGTAAATCTTCTTCCAGCCTTTCATCCTAAGCATATGCTTATTTCTGTCGGTGAGATGAGTCTCCTGTAAGCAACAAATTGTTGGATCTTCTTTTTTAATCCATTTGTCAAACGGTGTCTTTTGATGGGT